TCCTTCCGGGGTGCTTGCACGCTAGCTCCTTCCGGGGTGCTTGCGCGCTAGCTCCTTCCGGGGTGCTTGCACGCTAGCTCCTTCCGGGGTGCTTGCGCGCTAGCTCCTTACGGGGTGTTTGCGCGCTAGGTCCTTACGGGGTGTTTGCGCGCTAGCTCCTTACGGGGTGCTTGCACGCTAGCTCCTTACGGGGTGTTTGCACGCTAGGTCCTTACGGGGTGTTTGCACGCTAGCTCCTTACGGGGTGCTTGCACGCTAGCTCCTTACGGGGTGCTTGCACGCTAGCTCCTTCCGGGGTGCTTGCACGCTAGGTCCTTCTGGGGTACTTGCACGCTAGGTCCTTGCAGGATGCTTGCACGCTCAGTCCTTCCAGGGTGCTTGCACACTAGCTCCTTCCGGGGTGCTTGCGCGCTAGATCCTTCCTGGTGATTCGGGGTGAGATCTTGACACCCCGCCTTGCTGCTTGGATGTCAGCAGAGTAGTCGGAAAATCGCAGCTGCCGCTTCTCAGGGGTGGAGGCGTCTCTCTTAAGATGCTTTCGTTTGATGCAAGTGGTCACGCATCTTTGCGAGAGTTGCACTGAAGTCAAGAGTCAGGTCTTTATTTTCCTCAGTTTTGTCGTTTAGGGATAGGCAGTCATTGCGTATTAACGGGGTACACACCCCGTGCTGGAGGAACAAGGATGAATATGGCCAGATGCGAGACCCTAAGACACTATATGGCCAGATGCAGGACCCCAACACACTATATGGCCAGATGCAAGACCCCAACACACTATGTGGCCAGATGCAAGACCCCAACACACTCAAGACCCTAACACACTATATGGCCAGATGCAAGACCCCAACACACTATATGGCCAGATGCAAGACCCCAACACACTGTATGGCCAGATGCAAGACCCTAACACACTATGTGGCCAGATGCAAGACCCCAACACACTATATGGCCAGATGCAAGACCCCAACACACTATATGGCCAGATGCAAGACCCCAGCACACTATATGGCCAGATGCAAGACCCCAACACACTACATGGCCAGATGCAAGACCCCAACACACTACATGGCCAGATGCAAGACCCAACACGCTGTATGGCCAGATGCAAGACCCTAACACGCTGTATGGCCAGATACAAGACCCTAAGACACTGAGGGAGTATCACAGGTGTATGGCACATCCCAGTTTTTGTGCCTTTTATACTTTGATTTTCTTTGGACCTCACAGTGTTGCAAAGTTGTAAAAATGATCCTTTTTTGAGGTTTAAAAACTGGCCTCACTTTACAGATGAAGAGACTGAGGCTGAGCAATGTGGGTGAAACCCACTGCTGGTTCTCTCGTAACCTGTCGTGGGGAACGTGAGACTCCACCACGGCGAACTTTCCGCCAGGGTGGGCAGGGGCAGGTGTCCCTCTCCTGGCTAGGAAGGCAAAACAATGGGCAGAAGTCGGCTCAGGGTGGGTGGGGTGAGTGCGGAGGATAGCGGAGCCCAGATGGGGAACGTGGGCCGTGGCGAGGGTCTAGGAGGGAGGACCTTCCACGTCCCATTCATTCAAACAGAATCTCTCTTTTTTTTTTTTTTGAGACAGAGTCTCACTGTGCTGCCCAGGCCAGAGTGCTGTGGCATCAGCCTCGCTCACAGCAACCTCCAACTCCTAGGCTCAAGCGATCC